AAAAATGATATGAAAAGGGGACAGACAGCTGCCACTCCTTTTTAAAAATTGAATTTATAGTAATTGAAGCACACACACAAAAAAATCAGTCTTTTGTTTAGAATTTTATTTTTATGTACATAAAAGCTTGGTGGCCTGCATACATACATCTATCCAAGTTTGGTGGCCAGCTCTTTAGCCTTGGCTTTCTCAAGCTTAGCAATACGAGCAACAGATTTGGGGCCCAGGACATTTCCACCCCAGTGGCGGCGAATCTGGAACAGAAAAGCAAGGTGCATTTGAAAACCAGAAGGAGATTCGGCAATACTGCTGCATCTTTGCAACTACAGTAGTTTTTCCATCTGCCTGTGTTAACGTGTCTTTCTGAAGTACTAAAAAACTAACAATTAAGAGCACTGAATAGCTTGCTCCATATACTTTATTTCAAGCCGCTTCAGTACCTGACTGCTGACTGCATTTTAGCAGGCTACGCAAACAGAATCACCCCCGAGAAGAGAAACAGAACCAGAAATCTGACAGGCACGTTCTTACCTCATCGTATCTCTCGTTGTAGTTGGTCTTGACAGCTTCCACCAATTTAGCCAGGGCTCCTTTGTCCTCCCTGCATAGGAAAAGATAAGGTCAGGCTATTTGCAAGGGTCAAGGCCACCATTTCAAGATGACCACTGGCTAAACGCAAGAAGCATATTCAGCTGGTATTCTAACGGTGCCACAACCCACAAGAGGCCCCTGAGCTTCGAGCAGTTATTGAAAGAAGTACCTGCTCAGTTACCATCCAAACTAACTCTCGATTAGATTTGCTGTGTACGGACTTTGGCAGGCCCATAATCAAACCTCCATTAAAGGCTACTTACGGATTAACTTGGGTGAAGGCCACGCAAGTGCAGGTTTTCCGGTGGACAAGGCGACCCAGTCTGGCTTTGCCTTTGATGATGCAATAGGGGACCCCCATTTTTCGGCACAAGGCGGGCAGGAAAACCACCAGCTGCACCAGAGAAGAAAAGCTTCCATTATGGGGTGCTGTGGCATCTTTACGTTGGCCAGAGGGTGGAGACTTGGTCAGTGGCAATTGCTCAGTGTTAAAAAGCTCGTATGGTTTTGCTCTTCACAGGTGAGTCAGGTGAAGAAATTCAAACATCACTGCAGTAGCCAAGCCTGAGCAAGTCACAAGGGGGTTCTGAGAACTGCTTTGTAACAATGGCCCCTTCCAGCCTCACAAATTGTCCGGCTGCTTTTTTCAAAATAGCTAAGTCACTCTGTGGAAGGAAAGGGGAAAGAATGCCACGGAGTGACGCAAAGGAGCTGTTTCTTCACAGAATGGAAGGCAAGTCCTAACTGAGTCCTTAAATGCTTGAAAAGGATCCTGGAGCCAAGAGGGTAAGATTAACACTGGGCAATCTAGGGAAGAGAACCCAGGTCCCAGATTCCTTATTCCTGCATTTTCTCACTGCTTGCTTTTTTTCCCCAGTCCTGTTAAAATACAAGACTAACATGCACCCTACTAGTTTGTCAAAGAGGAAGGGAAGAATACCCCACAGCCTTGGAGGCAGTAGTGTTGCTTTTGGGACTCCACCATGCTATTGCACAAAATTTGGACTTTGGAAATACAAAAGGACAGACTCTTCCCATTCGCTTACCTCAATGGGGTCTACATCATGTGCAATCACCACCAGCTGAGCCTTCTTGTTTTCCACCAAGGTAGTAACTGTGTTGACACCTGGAAAAAAAAAATCAGTAAACTAAATTCACAGCACAGACTAGGCTGTACAAAAATACAGCGCTCTTGTCTTTAGAAACACGTTAGGATACATTATGCCATCAAGGAACAGAACAACCTGCTAAAGCTCAGGGTTAAAAAGCTCGTGTATTTGCTCTTCAGTCTGCAGTTCAGGTGAAGAAATTCACACATCATTGCAATAGCCAGTTGTCAACAGAAAGAACCTGGAAGACTGTCCTTTTAGCTAACCGAGCTTAGGAACACGATACAGAGATGTTCAAAAGTTTACCTGCTCTCAGCACAGGAGGCCTTTTGGTTGGAACATCGCCCTTTCCTGCAGCCTTCTGCTCTGCCCGAGCCAACAGCCTCTGTTTTTTCTCTTGCTTAGTCTCAGGCCTGTATTTGTGAGCCAACTTCAGAAGCTGAGTAGCTGTTGAAAAAGACACGTAAATGAGAACCGGAGAATTTCTTTATCCATCCTCCTACCTTCTTAAAAGAGATCTTTGTGCATCAGCGATCTTGGTGGTTGGGAGTCATCAAGAAAGCTCAGATATCTGCTACCATCATCTGCACGTTGGAGAACAACCTTCTTTTCTCTTTCAGGCTAAACCCAAAAAGGTGTCTGCTCCCTCCCCTATCTTTTCATATACCTCACATTATTCATTTAGAATCTAGCCAGCACATTCATACCCCAAAATCCCATTTCTATTGGCACATAAGTTACTACACTCTGAATTGGCAACTGAGTGCCATGAAATGTATGCCGTAAGTTACCGTATTTAGGTACAGCTATGAAGGGGAAAAAAGTTTGAGGCTTGGCCCAGCAAGCTGTTGACCATCTCCCTTTCAACCTCCCTCCCCTGAAAATTTATCATTGGCAACCTTTGTATAAGCACCAGGAACAGCATCCTATACAGGAAGACAATTTGTAGCCCTGCGCTTTGCAAAACAGTAAGACAAGCTGTTCTGCTCAGTCGCCTTCCTCTTATAATCAAACAAGATCACGATTTACCCGTCTGGCGGTCCAGCGCTTGGGTGAACTGGTTCACTGCTGGGGGCACCTTCAACCTTTTGTAAAGGATCGCCCGCTGGCGCTGGAGTCGGATGTAGCGAGGCCATTTCACAAAGCGGGTCAAGTCACGTTTGGGCTGGATATCCTGGCCTGAAAGATGCAGCACAACTCAGAGGACTGGTTTGTAAGCTAGAGGTTTCTTCAAAAACCAAAGGGGCATCAGCATCAGAGATCTTGGTGGAAAGGCTTGTCAGCACTGCCACTCAGTTAGCAAATATTCTTTTCCATCATTTGCTTGCACCCTTTTCAGAACATTAAACTTCCCCAAAACGGACAGATCTGCCAAACCCAACAGACTAGGCTCTTCCCCTCCTCAATCAATATTTTAAACTGACTCTCTGTTTAGGAGATCTATATGCCACTTTTCAATAAAGAAACTTCCAAGCTTGTCATTTCATTATTCAGTAACAATAGTAAAAGCAACAAAGAATAAACAATTCCAGGAAGAATCAAGGGCAGCAATAAAGTTTTCCAATATATAGTGAAAGCGTTCCTTGGTGGGATCTCCCTAACCTTTAGAAGGCTCACTCAACAGCTATTACAGCCAGAATAGGGCAATTTCTCCAGAATGTTAATATCCAGGAAGGCAGATCTTAACAGTCTTCCAGATAGCTTGGTTCCAAGCTGTCCAGGGCTTTATAAACTTACAATGACAACCTGCAAATGGCTTGGTCCTAACTGGCAGTCAGTACAGAGCTTTCAGCACAGGATACATACAGTAAAAGCACCCTCACAGAAGATCTAGCTACACAGGAAAATACCAACTAAACGAGGTAGCAAATGCATTTGTTTCAGGGTCTTGCTTCAAAAGGTTTTCGAGAGAGGATCTCTGAAGTGGCCAGAAGCACTTCGCGACCACAGGATGACTGCCTTTAAGCCAGAATGGCTGGCGTTTTCACCTTGCAACATCTTTAGAGAAGGTTCAGAAAAAAGCCTCCAACACCACTGCGTAGATTCCAGCGAGCAATTTTATTTACTCATATTGTGCCTCTTTAAAGTGGCTTACGGAGCTCAGAAATGCAGTCGAAAACCAGAGTCTGCAGAACTGAATTAGCAACAACTTCAAGTGGAAAGAAAGCAGCAGCCAGCTGAAAGAAGCGAACAGTACCAGAGTCTGTTTTCCCTAAATGGAATTACCTCCACATTTGTCCAAAGATCAAGTAGATTATTAAAACACCTTGATGCAAAAACAATTTTGCTCCAATTCCCTGTCTGATCAAGCTCCTTGGCATGTAAGGAAAGACCTGCATCCCATCACTGTCCCCCTCCCCAACTCACCGATGCCAAAGTTTTTGGGCCTCTTCTCAAAAAGAGGGTTGACCACCTTCTTGGCCTCCTGCTTCTTGACTACAGCAGGGGCCGGAGCCACCTTCTTCCCCTTGGCCTTCTTTCCCTTCGGCTGAAAAGGTGAAGCGCAGGTTAGTCATCTGGAAAACACGGATCAGACAAACGACCCGGTTCTAGCCTACGGCGTAAACGCACCATCTCCTATAGATCTTAAGGTGACTTTTCCCAAGCTGGCTACCACACTCAAGGTCCCAGCCGTGCCACTCAAACGGGTCTGAAAGCCTGTTGCCGCATGCAACGTGAATCCATTTACAAATATTAACCTTCAGATCAAATCGTCGTCACTGTCCTAGGCCAGCCTAAAGTATTAACCTCATCCAGCCAAGACGGACTATTACTTCCAACGCTATCATATCATATCACATCAAAGCGGTTGGGGGGAGCAGAACTGTCGTCCGGTCCGTTTCTCTGGTTCCAGTCGGCAAGACGGCGTGCCTGATGTGCCCGAAGCAGCAGCTCAGCTTCTCCCAGAGAGGAGCGCGCGGGCTGCCTAAACGGCGACCCGACGTTTGCAAAAGCGGGCGAGGCCGAAACTCAAGAGCCCCCCCCCGGCCGGCTCCCCGTCCTCTTTCCCTTCTAATAGAAACTGCCTCGGGTTCGGTAGGGTGCCCGGCCCTCCGATGCGGGGTAACGCCCTCCCAATCGGGACTCCGAAGGGCGGATGGCGACGGATTGAAAGATCCCCCCCACCAACCCACCGCTAAACCCAACGCGTCGCCGGGACTCACCATCTTGGCTGAAGGAAGAAAAAGAGAGAGCAGTGCATGCCGGGTAATATATCGCAGCGACGCTTGGCCTCGCGAGAGGTCAACCCTCAATCACGCGGGAAGATCCGGAAAAGGAAGCCCAATCTGTCTTTCGGCCCACGGGCTCTCATCATAGAGACGATAAACGGCTACCGGGCTTTTGCAGACTCCTAGAGCGTCCTCGAGGGGCGCGTCACCCCGCGCTGCCACGGAATAAACAAGCGCCCTTTTCGGATTAGAAATGCTGGATTAAGAAGCGGGAGCAAGAGGGGCGGGTGCAGGTGAGGCAAGAGCGTGAGTTTTCAGATGGTCGAATTGCTGTCTCAAAGCACTTTCGCCGTACTTTACTTTATCTCTAGTTTTTCAAATGCTGGGAGCAAGGCTCTAGTCCTCATTGGCCTTATTCCCACGGCGCTGGGAATGGAGGCTGCCCCTTTTGCACAGTATTCTAAACCATGAATTAGCTGCGTGACCGGGAGCCGCTCGACCCAACAGGTTAAAATGCGGGTGGTTTGGGGTTCGTTGCGTCGTGTGAAGGCAGCCGCGCTTCCAGTTCTGCCCCCGCGATTAGTTAAATAGAATCCGAATGTATCGTTTTCTGAGATTTGGCCCACAGACCCTCCATTTTGATTATTTGCTTTCCTGGGAAAAGCCGTCAGTTAGTGGCTGGACTGTTTATGGCGTCTCTTTTCTTAATTTGCTTTTTAATATTGATGGAGACCGGAGGCAAACACGTGACTCCTGATGACGTTGATGCAAAGTGCAAATTTTAACACTGAAAAGTGAAATGTGATGTTTATGGGCAATATTTCATTTTTTAAAACATGGTTTTAGATTTTTTTTTTAACGCATTTTTCTCTGGTTCTCTGGACTTGTAATTTGTGAAGACAATTTGTGTTTTCTTTTTTCGTTTTTTTCTCTCTTTTTTTGGTTTTGTTCCTTTCCCAGCCATGTCGCAGCAACGGGTCCTACCCCAGAGTAAAGAAACTCTCCTTCAGTCCTACAACAAGAGGCTGAAAGATGACGTCAAATCCATCATGGACAACTTCACAGAAATAATTAAGTCCGCAAAGGTAGATACGTGAGAAGAGACCTTCCTCCCCACTTCCCAATTCAATTCTCCAGCCTAAATTTTTGCAGGCCTGATTGTAAGTGTTCGCTGTTTCTTTGCCATATTGCTCATGCTTTGAAAATTTCAGATGATTCTAGTGAGTGAACCAAGTGACATAACGCAAAGAAATGGTGAAACAGATTTCATTAGCGGCAGGGAAAATTCTTGACGGCTTTTTAAATGACCAGAACGTTGAACTTCATAGCAGAAGGAATAAAGTGATAGTTCCTGGAAATCGAAGTAGGCATTTCTTTTGCAGAAAGGTAGCGTGCATTTTGAAAAAAAGATGTTGACTTGGATAAGAGAACAGTCTCACCCTGGTTCACAAATCAGGTGATTTACCCTTCTGTCCCAGGAAAACATGCAGATTCTTGGATTTCACTTCCTGGTTCCTTTTGCAGATTGAAGAAGAAACCCAAGTTTCTCGGGCAACACAAGGCGAGCAGGATAACTATGAGATGCACGTCAGAGCTGCAAATATTGTGAGTGGGGTCGATTGGAGAATTCTCGAGTAGAAGAGTTTTTTTGTGATTCTGCTCAGAGATGAGTTGCAAACCTGCCTTTTAATTTAATCAGTGTAATGAGAAAAGTTGATGCTGTCATCCACCCTAACAAGCAGGGTTTTAATTCTGCCCCCCAAGAGAGCAGGGAGGAGATAATCCATGACTGAAATTGCTAACAACTCTGATAAAATTTGGCCATGTTTTTAAATATGTGGATCTCCCCTTCAGGTCCGAGCTGGCGAATCCCTCATGAAGCTGGTCTCTGACCTGAAGCAATTCTTGATCCTCAACGACTTTCCTTCTGTCAACGAAGCCATCAACCAACGCAATCAGCAGTTGCGAGCCCTGCAAGAGGAATGCGACAAGAAACTGATTGCACTGCGGGATGAAATCTCCGTCGATCTCTACGAACTGGAAGAGGAGTATTACTCTTCCAGGTACAAATAAATCCATGGAGAATCCTGTGATAGCCACACCATGGCCTCTTTTTGACACTGGAGATAGTGGTTGTACTCCAAGGCCGCCTAAAATTATGAATGTTTCCAGGGGTGGTGCTGGCAGTCCTCAAAAATCAAGCAACTCGTAGTTCCTGGTTTGCAATTCCATGCAGCTACTCAGAAGGGAAACACTCCATGGCAATCTGGAGCAGCCAACTCCTGGTCCCTTTTTTGCAATCTCCCAAATGAGAGACTGGGAACTGGGGTTAACTCAGTGATTTGGGGTAGGGCAGTGGCGTGATTTTTGAGCGCCTTTGTAGGCTTAACACAACTATTTCCTTTAAAAGATCCTCCCCCCCCCCCTTTGAGAAAGGGCCAAAATTTTCAGCACCAGGTGTTCTGGTGGTTATCTACACTTAATCCGCTACAGAACATCTCTCCTAGTTGATATCGGGGTACCAATTGCTAGAAGCAATTTTTGAATGAGAAAGGGTCTGGAACCTGTGGCATGTTCTCCAACCTTACTCCCATAATTGGGGTGATACGAGTTCAAACATCTCCCTATTTTAGTATGGTAGAAGTGGGATGGTCTTGCTGGGTGGGGAACTCTGGGGGTTGAAGTCCACACACCTTAAAGTTGCCAAGTCTGAAAAACACTGGTCTCGGAGGTATAGAATAAGAGCATATGGAAACCCCAGAGTTGCATGCAATCCCAAACTGCCTCTGAATTGTAATTTTTAATATGGTAAAAGAGGGGAGTTACTATATCCAGGAAGAATAAGCATTCTATTTAATTTGTTTAATTTAATTTTAATTTAATCGGATAGGCAGTCTTCACACAATATCCAGAGCCCATCTTCTGCGTTTATGTAGTGCAGTGATTCATCGATGAACCAAGTGGGTTTGGTTTAAACAACATGCTCAGAGAAAGAGAAACCAAATCAAGGTATATATGAAACAAGCTGTAAGTTTAGTGGGTTGTATGTGAGCCGCTGTTAGGCCTTTAATGAATCTAGCGAAATACGTTGGGCAAACATCATTTAGACTTTATCCTGACTCCCTCCACTTCACGTGGAGACTACAGACTGTAGTTGAGTCCCTGTAAATAAAATTGGGAGTAGTATGTTTATAATACCCCATCCCAATCTTTTGTTTTGGCATTTTTAGAGAATAAAAATGTCAGGTGGCATCTTGATTGGAAGGGGGCTCAGCTCTCCTGAAAAAAAAGACTGAACTGGATAGGGGACATTTTAAAAGTCTCCCTCAAGCTCAACTTCTGATGATTTCATGAAGACTTCAGTGTAGTTTTCTTAACAATACAGAAGTGGTTTGCCACGGCTTTCTTATGAGGTATTTTTTCAGCTTCCCAGTCGTCTTAAACCCTGGTGGTCTCCCATCCAAGTATTTAGCCTGTGAGGATTGGCCAAGGTTGGCTAGGTGTTGTTTGGTGGCTGCTGAGTTCCTCTCAACTGAGGATCTGATTCAACCGGACACTTCTGTGCGCTGTAGAGCCCAGCCTTACGCGTGGCTAGTCGTATGTCCGGATGTGTTTATAGGTGCTTTCATTGTGACCTCCGTGGGTCCTACATTTCACTCCACTCAGGTTTTTTTCTGCCTTCAGGTTTATACTGATGCCTTTTTAGCTGAACCAAAGATCTCTAGGCGTGCCTTAAGAACGCATGTAGAGAATGCATTTGCATGCAAGAAATAATGGAGGCTGGCAGGCGGATGGGAGGCAGGGGAGAGACTTTATTAGCTGTTCCTGTTGGCGTTACTAGACTAGTTGGTGCCGTTCTCCCACCTCTGGCCCAGAGATGAGCTGGAAATGAGTTTGCACAAATCGTCACAACCCTTTGAAGGCTGAACGCAGGAGTGGGGAATTTGCACCCCTGATGAGACTCCCTCAACGGTTGCCGTGTTGGGGTCCAGAGTGAGGCAGGGTGGGTTGTACAACTGGGCATTCCCCAAGATAGAAGCCCAGCCAACACGTGAGGAATCAGGTAAAATCAATTCCTCTTTACCATTTGGCAGCTTGAACAGATTGTTTGTACCGTGTCAGTGGCCTCTTTTTGTGTGTGAATCACAGGAACCGGTCCTGCACGCTAGGTTTTAAAATATTTGGTAAGCCATGTTTTGTTCAAGGAACCACAACTGGCTGGGTTCCTAAAGTGCAATGAATCATAAACGATGGTTTAGAAATTACACTGGCTAGAATCCCAGGACAGACTACGCGACGGCAAAGCGTGAGGGGTCAATCAGCTGAGAAATCCCAAAGGCCTTATTCCCATACAGGCCAGATCCTGTATCTCCACCACTTATAAGGCAAGCCACATGCAGTTTTGTATTTAAAACTTTTTCTCTCTCTCAATCTGTGATAGTTGAAACTTATCCTATTTAAGCATTTGATGATGGTCTTATGTCTCTCTCGTATCTCTAATAGTATACGTGAATTCCCCTAATGATTACTGCAGCTTTATTATAAATAAAACTGTGGTGGAAAAAAAAAAGGTAAATGTCAACCTCAGGCTGGTTTTTATTTTATTTTTTTAACCCACGGCTTGTTTGAGAGTCTCCTTATTTCTCCTCCTGTCTTTTATGCATAGCTTGCTCCTCTCTCTTCGGCAATTTGTCTGTATCCTTTTGCAACTTCTGTCTGCTTCAGGGCAGGGCAAGGAAGAAGATGGGGCAGGATTCCCTACAAAATAATGGAGGGAAGAGGAACCAAAGGCCCTTGGATGGAAAAGCGCTCCCATTCCCACCCTACAATCTCCCCAGCTCTGCTCGGGCACCTCCAAAATTCAGCCATATTGCTGTTGCATTCTGCCTGTGTGATTTGAGGCAGCTCTGGGCACTTTTCAAGGGTGAAAATGGGAGCCACGCACTTGCCAAAGCTTGCCATTCCAACCCTCTTCTTTAAAAATCCAGACTCCGCCCCTTCTAGTGACATCACTTCTGACCCTTCTGGTGGGGAGGACAGTGAGCATATTTCTCACGCGATACCCATGCGTACACTAACTCCTGTCAACTCTCCAAATATTTATGCCATGAGAAAAAAAGAAAGGGGTGGGAATTATCCTTTCAAGATTGTTGTGGTTAGCAACTACAAGCCTCAGGGCCAAATGTGGGCCACTGCCCAATAGCCAACTTAGAGCAAAAAGTGTGTGCAGAGTGACCGATGCTGGCTGCTAACACAAATCAGTGATGTCAAAAGAATTTCTTTTGTGCTTTAGACGATAATCAGATTTAAACAATCCCACAAAGCTGGCTGGTTTCTTTCGTTGTGGGCTCCCAACTCAATCCCCAGAACCCATGCCTGGGAGCATTCCTGCTGCCCCGAACTTGAGAGAGCTCATTTTTCAAGTTCTGGGTTGATCTGAAGTCATCCCCCCCTTCAGCAAACCAGGGTGGCCATTGTTCCTATCATGATACCCGGGGTTCAGATTTCTCCCAGTGGAACAATGTCTCCGAAATAGCTTTGGGATGAATTTGTTGAAAGAGCCCCACCTAACCCTGGTTCTGGAGAGAGGAGCTGCAACGTGTTGCTGCCGCCTCCTGAAAGATGTTGCTGTTTTCTTAACGCTGTTGCTTCTGTCTCGCTTTCCTCCCCTTCGCCTGCCTGCCTGCCTGTCTGTCGCTTTCCTTGATGGTCCTCGCTGCCTTAACGGGGGTCTTGTTCTGCAAAGCTACGGCGTCTGTGATGCCCCCAATCTCTCTCTTTCTGAGGCCTACTGGAGACAAGAACCAGCAGCGTCACCCCTGGAAGGTCTCGTCACGTCCCTGGCCGCCGCCACCAGCACGATGGAGCAGAACCTTCCCGCCCCGCAGGGCTCAACGCCTTCGCATCCGCATATCAACGGGCACGGAGTGGGTCCTCCGGAGCACCCCTAAAAGGGGTCACCTGTTCCATCATTTCCTGATCCATCATCCAGGGGTCACCTGTTCCATCATTCCACCCCTAAAAGGGGTCACCTGTTCCAGCATTTTAACCTCCTGTTTTCAGCAGGCGTTGGAAACTGCCTTCCTGTGGTTTCAACACAGCTTTGCTATTCTGGAAAACGCTTTTTGCCCTCAAGAGGACATTTAACGTCACGGTCCAGAGATTCCTTAGAGAGATGCTCAGGTTGGGAAAACAGCCTCTCTGTCGTTGAGATCTATTTTTCTGTTATTTCGAGAAGGAGAAAACCTGCCCCCCCCAAATACCGCTGAGTTAAAAATCCCAGAAAATCCAACCCACAGGGCTTAAGGTCAGACAGAGCAGAAATACTGGTTGCCACAGGAAGAGAACCACAAGTTTTCCACCTCTGCGTGAGATGTGATTGCAGAATGTTTAAGGCATCCTTTTCTCTATTTTGTTTGAATCGCAGTTGAAAATAGATTGGGTGGGGTGTGGGTTTTTTTCCCTTTTTTGAATAGGAATTTGGAAGCAGTCTTGTTTTTTTCTTCTCTAGATTTTTAAAAGTATTATTCTCTGCCACTTGCTGAACAAAATTCCATCACTTTAAATATTTTTTTATCTGTCCGGGTTAACTTTCTGGATGTGGGTAGTATTGTTTAAACAGAAGAGACATCTTTTAGCAGCTGTGACATTGGCAATACTTACTAATGAAGCAAGTCAGACTTTTTTTACCTCTAGCTGTTGGCAGAGAAAGTCCTGACCGGGTAAATATCAGTATGTTTACGACCTATTAACAGGATGGCTCTTTAAAAAAAAAGACTGCTTTCTTTGTTCTGGAAATGGCATGATAGTTGCCACATTTTTCCTCCTACCGCACTGCTGTACCTTCCGACATAAACGTTAAGTGGGCCAAGTTATTTTGCTGTGGACATGGGACATTCATCCTCAGCAGCTATTGAAAAGGGTTTATAACAACCTCAACATAAAGGACAGCTGTAAAACAAACGGTTTCTTTGTTTGGCCCGTTCAGATCGCCAAGAACGTCATAGTATTATTTCGTCTTCCTCCTCATCAGCCGAATAAGCTAATTCTTACATTGCTCACTCTGCTAGCCGGTGTTAGCCCCGACGCGGCTTCCCTTTTTGGGGGCAGGATTCAGAGGGTCGCACCGGGTTTCTTAAATGCTTCGGGATCCACGGATCAAGTTGTACATACTGGGGTCGTCGTTTTCCAGCCATGAAAATCGTTCTGTCCTCTGCAGCGATACATGTTCACCAACTTAGTGCATCTAATAGCGCCCCGACATTGTCGATAGCAAATAATTCTTCCTCAGTTTAACAACAGGGACGTGGCCAGGCTGCAGAGGAGCTGGTGCTGTTTAACAATAAAATAAAATCTGGCAACCTTAGATGCACGTTTAACGAACAGTGTTAAAAATGTAAAAGAGATCAATGGGGTTTTTCTTCTGTAATAGTAAGGTATACTGTGTCTCTTCTTTTTTTTAATAGTTATTCTTTTTCTTATTGTACAAGACTCTGGAAATAAAGCTAGCTGAGTTTGGTGGCGCCAAAGGCTTGGATAGTTCTTTACAGCGCAAACGGTGTGAACCAGGAAAGGGTCTCTGTCGAATGAAACCGAACTGCAAAATTCAGACGTTTGTTTCCCTAGATAATTCATGTTATGAATGCATGATGTTTTGGGGCTCTAGTGAATCGGCTCGGTGCAGATCCGTCCTATAGCTTTCAGAAGTATGTTTTCACGGCTGCGCTGGTGCGAAACAGTCGCTTTAACTAAGCCCGCAGGATGCCCTGCGCCCCAAACTTAAGAATACAGGCGAAGCCATCGCTAAAACGTTGGCTGCTTTGGGGTTCGCGAAGTTTAAGAAAAAGCTAATTAAACTAGGGACCCCGACTCCAAACTGGAAAACGGGATCCCGAGTCTTAGTTGATGGAGAGGACCGCGCCTTGGCTGCTTAATCCAAAGGATCCCGGGGCATCCTATCCCATCGAAGCAGGGTGGGAAACGGGTGGCGGCTCTGCTTAGCCGGGCGGCAAAGCGCATCCGCTCGGGCCGCGTTCAGAGAACACGCATCCTCCAGCAGGGCAGCGCAAGCCCGTGCGGATGCGCCCGAACGCGATGCCCGGGGACGCGCGGGGAGGAAAGGCGATCTTTGCGCGCGCGCCACCGCTGGAACCCCGCGAGCCAGCCCCCGCGGGCGGGGCCCCCCGCCGCCTCCGCCCCCTGGCCCTCCCCCCGCCCTCCCATAAGCTTCCCAGGCTCAGTAATAGAGCCCCGAGCCGGCCGCAAAACAGGCTGGGGTGGATCGACTCGTGCGCCTCGCTCCAGCCACGTGGGGAGCGGCTGCCCGAGCGCGCCGTACCTTGCGCGGGGCTCTTCGCCGCGCCTTCTCGCCGCCTCCGATCCTGAGCCGGGGCGCAACCGCTCCGGACCCCCAAGGTGGTGCATTTCTCCCCGCGACGCCTCCTTCCTCGGGCGGTTCGGGTTTTGCTTGCTAATTCGCCTGCCCCCGCCCCCGTTTTGCCAAAGGAAAGGCGAGATGGAAAGCCACCTTCGCTGGACCTGCCGGCGCGGTTGGATGGGAGTGGTAGTCCCCGCGTTTGGGGGGCGCGAGAGGAGAGGAGGGGGCGCGCGCCCAGGTTCGCAGCCTGGCTTTTCCCGAGCTGGGTTTGCAGGGCATGCTTAACCACAGTCCGCTTAACTCTGCTTTATGCCATAATCCGGGTTTTGCGCATCAGCCAGGCTGGGCTCAATCCAGCATAGGCTAAAATGCGGTTTGTTAGCTCCTGAAAACAAGCCGACGTCTCTTTAAAAATATTTATCCGTTGACTCTTCCTTCCGCCTTTGGAGATGGACCGAGGCCAGCTCTGTAGCTGCGCCATGAAACTTTTTCCCGTTGCTCATCGGCCGTTGTTTCTTGGCACAGGAGAAAAGGGCATTCGGTGGACTTCGCCAGCGGGTGAGAGGCTGAACGGCGATGTGAAACCCTCGGAATTGCACTGGTGTTTTTCCTCCCGAGAAGATCTGGTGTGACCGTGGTGGGGCACTGCTTTAAAATGGCCAGCTTAGCCACTATGGACTCTTACTTGCAAACGCTGGCGAAGAAGATTTGCACCCAGGAAGTCCGTGAACCACAGAAAAGGAAATTTGGTACGATTTCTGAGACACCCATTGACCTCCCTGCTTTATACTGGAACGTAGAACGATCCCATCTGGAGCTTTCCCCACTAAATTTAATTTAGTTCCAAGAAATGATGGAGCTATAAAGGTGTTATTTTTAAGACAGGTTTGGCAGGGAGGAATTCTGGAGACTGCCCACATTTTTTTTTTCCAGAGTCTTTTGGAACTCATTGTAGATCTCTATGCAAAGGCACTGGGGTTCGTTTTGACTCTACCTGATCATTGAATTGAACCCGAGGCTTTGAAAACACCCACTTTACTGCCCCAAACAAGGGTCCTTTTCTAAAATGGGCAGGTGGGAGAGTTGGTTCTAGGCAAGGGGAACTGATTTATCTTTGTTTTTTCTCATTGAACGGGAAATCCATTGGTCTGTTTTCAAAGGAGTTCCAGGGAGCAGGCTGGGGGACGAGAGCACTCAGCCCAGGAAGAAGAAAAAGAAAGGAAAGAATCTGAAGAAGAAAAGTACTGTGATGGTTGCTCCGGTGAGCACATTCAGCCAAGCGTCCCCAGCCAAACCAGCAGATGTTAAGAAGCCGGGGTCAGCTTCTCAGATCACACCTGGTGCCAGGGGAGAGGAAGGAAGTGGAAAAGGAACTTCTGTAGCGCCTGGTGTTACAGGTAAGAATGTAATGGAAGGGGGAATGATGGGAACACGTTGGAGAGAAATCCTGTTTCTGGTCTGCATGGATGGCTACTGAAATTTGAAAAATAAGTGGTGTTTAAATGAGCTTCCTGCTGGAACAGGTTGGCATGCTACCCCAGCCTTTCCCGATCTTCTTTCACTGCCTGGGTTCATGCAGGATACGAAGCCACAAATGGCAGTTTCCAATTCACAGTATGAATTGGTATGGATGGCAGACGCAAAGCCAGCAAACCAATCACGGTAGGGCTTGTGGTGTGTTGTGTGAACAGGCTATAATTTTTAATCTTTTTTTTTTTATCGACCCAGGAAGCAAGAGTGCACCTGGCACAAGTTTTGCAATGGATTTCTTGCGCCAGAGGCTACACAACAAAATTCAAGAACTTTCTGGGAAGGTATGATTGAGACATACGTTTTAAAAAAATAGCTTTCAAGGTCTGGAAGAGAACATGAGTATTTATATCACTTTACCTTCAGTCTTATATCACTTATCTGGGAGTAAAACCATTGACCTCTATGGGACAGGCCCTGGGGTGATTCCATGTCTTTTCACATCCCATTTAAAATAGTCCCATCAGTGCAGAAGGCCAGATTTTTAAACTGGAATAAACTGTATCTTCCTGTTCAAAGTCTATATATATTCTGTATGATGCTGATGACAGAGTCCTGTTAGTTTAGAATAGCCTTTTCTAACATGATGACTCCCAGTTCTGTTAGGTTACAATTCTAGTTCCTCCCAGCATTTTGAACTGGGTTAGGACATGCTAGAAGCTCTTTCTGCTTTTAAAAGTAACTGTTTCTCTGCAGAGACAGGATTTAGAGTGTTTTCATTTGTCTCAGTGGTATAGCTTTAATCAGCAAAGGTTAATTGCTATCCTTAAAATGCTGTTAGATTATGACTCTCAACTGCCCTAACCATTGTGCCCAGTGGCAAAGAAGATGCCAGGAACTGTAGTTCAACAACTGGGAGCGGGCACAAGTTTGTATAACTTTATATACTATTTTAGTTTATATTATTATGTTACTAAACCAAATTTCCCCAACTAGGCGTCCCAATGTATCCAGACTCTACAATTCAGATTTCTCAGCTATAGTGTAAAGGCTGAAGGTGATGAAGCAGGAATCAATGATTCCAGGACAGACTAAAACATTTGGAAAATATGGAATGAAGACATTTCTTCTGTAAATACATGACTTTTTTTTTTAACCTGCAATAAATAGTGTATCTAGCTGTGTCAGATCTGAGAAGCTTCTGGTAGCTAGATACTGAATGCAGGGTTGAGTTTCTGGATTGCCACACTTGGTGGATGTTGGACACATTACAGCTTCCAGAATTTCCAACTTTAGGTGTTTTTGTTTGGAAATTCTGGGAGTTACAATGCTAGGTGGCAGGAGACTGCCCAGTTGGGCAAGGTAGATCAAATGTCCTTCAATTTCTGGACTGTTTCCCATTCCTTGCAGGGAAGTTCCAAAGCGCTGTCCCCCGCTGTGCTGGAGAAGCGCCAGCGAAGGAAATACGAGCGAGAGAGAAAGAAACGCCGGAGGAAAGAGATAAGGATGAAGGAGAAATTAGAGAAGAAAGCAACAGAAGAGGCATCAACTGCCGTGGTTTCGGAGACCCAGCAGGTGGACAGCAAGGCTGAGGTCATGTTTAACAGAGTGGAGGTCTGCGCAGAAGAGGAGCTTAACAAAGTGAAGAAAAAGGAAGAGAGAAAAAAAGCCATCAAAGGCAACATCACACCCTTGACTGGGAAGAATTATAAGCAACTCCTGAGCCGGTTGGAGACTCGGAAGGCCAAGCTGGAAGAGTTGAGGGCCACGGACGAGGAGAAAGCCAAGGAGTTGGAGGCCAAGATGCAGTGGACCAACGTCCTCTATAAGGCAGAAGGTGTGAAGATCCGCGATGACGAGGAGAAGCTGAAGGCAGCCCTCAAACGCAAGGAAAAGCGCAAGGCCCAGCGTCAGAGGCAGTGGGAGAAGCGGACCGAGCAAGTGGTGCAGAGGATGGAGCAACGGCAGGAGAAGCGCCGCAAGAACCTCCGGCAGAAGAAGCTCGCCAAGATCGAGAAGAAGAAGGCGAAAGCTCGGAAGAAAGGCCGCATCCTGCCTGAGGATCTGAAGAAAGCCAGCCCTAACTCAAACTGAGTTTTAACCCAGTCTGGGATGGGTGCCTGTTTGAGTGAACAGTTTTGTGGATTTTAGGGAATTCATAAAAATCTTGCTCTGATCAGATGGCGTATGGAGATGATGCAGCCAAGTCCATTTTGGGTCAACTCTCGGGTTGAGAAGGACCTCAAGGGTGGAAGGTCTTTCTTTCCAAAGAATTTGTCTATCAAATTACCCTTTTCGGTAATTTAAGTCGAATCGTGGGATGGGAGGACGAAATGTATCACCTTAATCTTGGGAGCAAATTGAAGCAAGGAAGAGATGATTAAAAATTCTACCCTGGCTGCATTTCTCAGCTTGGTGGTTGATTTAACCCATGGTCTGATTTGGTATAATACACAGAACCATAAATCGACCCAATTGCCTGGTTTTTTTACAACGTGTTGAAAAGTAAACAAAAATGGACATTCATTGTGTGAGTAATGGACCTGGTTAAACATCATACAGTATGTAGATTTTGTCTGGCTTGGGCATTAATCTTTTTGGCTACATTTCCTGAAAAAATGGGGTATGTGTCCCTCAAGGTAAAAATGTGCTTGAGGTGAATGAAGCTCAACTTCTCCTGTTTCCAGCAGTGGTCAGCCAAATGCCACGAAAGGCGGATCAGTTCCTCCGTCCAAGCGTGGTATTCCATGATGGAGCATCTCTGAATTCAAGGAAACATTTTTTTATCCAAGTGTGATGCCTTTTAATCAGGGGTGCAGAACCAGAAGGCTGTTTAAATTACAAGCTTTTCCTGGGGTGTGTTTGCAGCTTGTTCTTCCATAATCTCATGAGAATGCGTGCTTGTGCTGCAACAAGAAATGCCGGCGGGTAGATGTTCATTCCCCCCCCTTCTTCCTATCAAAAGTAGCAGCATTAGAGGTACACCAACTCAGTTGTTGCTGTTTGTTAAGATTTTTAAAAAATCAGGATAAAATATTTGGTTGGCCCACTGAGGGAAAGCAGCTTCCACATTAAATCATGGTTGGCTTAATTGTGGTTCACTGAATAAACCATCAGCTGCCTTGGCACAATGGGGCTTAGTTAAATTAGTTTTGACACCACAAGGGCTGGGTTCACACAGCACATAAGCCAAAGCAAGAAGCCATGTGGTGGCTATGTTCCCATAACATGCTTAATCTTTGTGGTAATCTTTTAATTAAGACATGTGCAATTACAAAATCAGTAACTGACTTGGTTAGACATGGATGCACCCAGCTGGTGGCTTAGCCTTCAGCTGCATTCACACACGACCCTTAACCTGGTTGGTGAATTAACCTACTTTCTAGGTTTTTGCAATTCACTGAGCCCTGAACACAAAATGGGTTTGGATTTACCCCATGCATTGAGTCACAAGAGTAAAGTTAATGCTATCCCCGCATGATATGTGGTGCAAATAGTGGTGCTCGCTTGTAAGAGCACAAATCTGTCTTGCACGGGGTGGGTTGGTTGAAATGCAGAACTGATTGAATGTTTCTGGTACTGCAATGCCAAACTCTAAACCCTCGTTCAGTGCGAGGCGTGGGGAGGGGGGAGGCCATCGACTCCCCGCCATTATTGATTCTTCCCCAGAAAAAGGGCCAAAGAGGGAGCGAAGAGCATCCGAGGGCTCTTCCCTGTCTCCCGCAGCAACCGCGTGCGTCTCCACGGCAACGGCTTTCGAGAGGACCGGGAAGCCGGCTCGGGATTCCCGCGGGTTCTCGCGAGACAAGGTCGCTCTTCACCCGAGCGCCTGGGGTTACCAAGGAAACCAGGAGACGCCGGCCCGGGCCTTGAGGGCTGGAGCGGCCTTGCGGGTCGGTGGGTCGGCGCTGCCAGGGGGGGCTCGGGGGGAGGACGCGGCCTCCGTCGCCGGTGCCCACCTTGCTGCCGTATGAGCAATACGGGGGAAGCTCCCCCCTCGCCGCCCCCGAAAACATGGCCGGAATTTGGGGCGGAGGGGGGTGGCCTGGAGCGTCATAGCTTCGCTTCTCGTTGCATGGAGTCCCTTGCCTGCCTCTTGGGGTGCAACAGCCTCCATGGGGGGGGTCTCGAGGAGGCAGGACCTGACTGGCCTTCCCTGGGCTTGGAAACAAAGCAGGACCAGATATGTTGAGTATTTGGATGGGAGGCCACCAGGAAAGCCCACGGGCGGGAACAAGGCAAAACCAGTGCACCTCGGTGGAGTTGCCAGTAGCATTACTGGGATGCAATCAGGAGCCCAGATTTTGGAGCTGGGCTGGGCTCCCAAATCTAACCTGGTTCCTGTTTGGAGAGGAGACCACTAGGAGACCCTGGAACAGCAAACTGCTTTTGCATTGTTGCTGAACAAATGATGCAGATGGGTCCACAAGATCCCTAGGACTCAAACTTGGCTTGAGAGAGTCTTTACCCTGGGGTGCGGAAATGCAAAATTGGAAATCCGTTTGGGTGTGTAGGCTGATGTTCAATAAATAGAGATCCAGGTTTCAATGAAGGCTGCGTACTTACTGATCAGACCTTCTTTGGGTGTTGGTGAATAAATAGGCTCTGTTTTTGCTGTCCTTTCCTCATCCCCATCTATTTAAGGCATCTCAACACTGATTTATTGCTTTCATTTACTGCTTTCTTCCCTGTGGCTTTGAGACGCGTCTGTAGGGGAAGTGGTGTAGAGACATATTAAATATGTATCTATTGTTTAAATTGTGCATAACTTTATGGTATGAACAATCTGCAACTTACATCTAAGCGTGCCTTTATTCAGTGGCATTCCCAATAGAACAAAGGAATACATTTTAAAATATAAAATAAATCATCCTGGAATACCCAAAATTAATACACATTGAGAAAACCCTGCAAATTTGACAGCAAACATAGGGGCAATTGTAGCAGAACTCACAAGCTTGAAACCAAGATGCACCCATCTAAGGAAGTGACTAGTTCATACTGATTTTCATCAGCTGGGTTGTGTATTTTAGTTTTGGCTCAGCATATTGTTTGAACCTGGCCATTGCAGTTTGTTAACTGTGATTTGGCATATAATGTGGTGTGAACTTGATCAGTTGTGGCTTCGTCAGCAAACTACAATGAAGGAAATCATTGTTTAGCACAATTATTAATTCAGTTGTTACGAAGAGGGACTTTTTCATAAGATAAGCTGTTAGATCAATAGGTCAATACACAAATGTAGAAGTATTTCTCTCCTTAATATGTTTTATTCAGCTTTAATGTACATGCTCTCCTTTGCATTTTTCTTTGTCTCTCTGCTTTCTCTCCCCCACCCCCATCCCATGGACATTTCCTCGGGAAAATATTTTCATTCAGTTGTTTCTAACATTGTTTACTGCTTCTTAGATAACCTAGTAAATGTGTAAATCCAGCAAGAATTCACACGTGCTTTCCACCATGACCCCGGTGGGGGTTCCACGTGTCCTCCCCAGCGGGAAAGTCTACAGACAGATCTTTGATGATGAGGTACAAAGACTGCAGGAGCTAAAAGAGTTAATTTACTCCCCCCCCCCCCAGCTTTATTGTGTATCTATAGAATCCCCTCTACCTTATCCTCTCAGCAGATGGAGTCACTGATGTACTTTATGTTTCTGTAACATGTTTTGATGGGATTGACCAAAAAAGGGAATTAATCAGTCAATCAATGGGACTTGGAAGAACTTTGCTTCCCTCTTTTTTAGTCAGTTGAATCACACACTTTGCTGGTATTCCTTCAGAGGAGATTCCTTATTTCTTTCTTTTTTACTTGGCCAAGATCAACCTGGTACACGCTCTCGGGGAGGCGAGGAGCAAGATCGCCCGGCACAAAGTCCTGCAGCTTCCAGGAAGGATCCCGCTGGTGAGGGATTTGGAAAGAATGACAAACAATAGTTTCTTGTCCAAACGCCAGCAGATGTGGGTCGAGGCAATGCCCAACGATGAATTCACTGAAAATCCAGTACAATACAAGTAAGGAATGTCTGTACTATACTGGGGTGCTTTGTGTTCCTAAACCAGATGCCAGCCAGATCGTCTGGTAGTTGGCCCTGCCATTTCGTCCCTCGTCCAAAGAATGGAACTTAAAAACAAAAAATTAAAAGGCCAGCATTTGGTGAGAACTCAAGCAAGAACACGGCGATTACTGTATGCAAAATTTGGCTACCTCGAAAGATTTGGGCTATTTTCATTTAGGATCATTGGGTACCATCCAAAGGTGTCCACGGGTACTGTGCTGTTGATCCCTGGGTCAGAGCACAAGGTGTGTTTAGGGATCTTTGCCCTGTAGAAACTCACCAACCTGCTTCATTTTAGAGCAACGCTTCTAGGCTCAAAAATGCAGAGCCGAGCAATCGAAAGGAAGCAATAGAGGTCCAAGATGAGAACAAGGCTGTTAGATCCGATGAAAAGGATGACCCGTCTTGACTGCGTACAAATACAAACTAAATATCAGATTTGTTTTTTTTCAACGATACTTCCTGAGAAATATGGGCTGAATATCTGAGAATTTCCTAATGATAAATCAATTGCCCATGCCTGTTGTATCTGGGGCCTTTCCTCCTTAACACTTCATTTTACTGTGGGTGAACCCAACAGTCTGGGTGCATACTGGCATGTATAGAATTTGCTGCTGCAAAATTCAGGTGGCTGGGATGTCCTTAAGAAAGACAAATTTATGAAAATTCACATTTCCTATGTTGGCTGTCTGGATAAACTTTCAATATCAGGAAGGGAGGGATTAGTCAAATGAAGCTGCCCAAATTCCTTTGATTCCCTCTGCAGGTAGCATGGAGATCAAAGAGGTTGACAGTAGAACAGATTGCTCTTTCAGTCACTAGTCTGCTTAATAAAACATTATTAAGGGTTTTATGTTTTTTTTTTTTAATTAGCCTACATTTCCCAGATGGCTGCAGAGGACACCCTTTCTCTGTAGTCAGCACGGACATGCAAGTTATTGGCCTTTTAGAAGCCTAGCAATCCACTCACTTGGCTGGCCTAGATGGAGTTTGGACCAGACTTAGCACACTGTTTCCTTCTGTGTTCTTCCTAACAAATATCTCTGCTAAATTTCTGAGTTTTTTCCTTTCTATTTCAGGGAGGCTATGACTCTGGCACATCTAAAGACTCAAGAAAGTGCCTGCATAATTGCCGCCCGGGAAGTCAGAGGCCTAGCCGATGTCATCAGTAAATATTAACATTTTTAATTGTAGACGTTGCCATTTGTGCTGAGCTAATACATCCATTCATTTTGATTTAATTATATTACTGCAAAACCCCAGTTTGCATTTAGGAATATGGAGGAGCAATATTATGTTTTTCTTGACTCTGTTCCTATTTTCATGATTGGTAAGAAGTTCAGGAAACAATCTTTTACAAAATCCAGCCACTTAATACACAGTAGTTAAACAAACCATGGCTTAACTCACTAGGGGGGATCCTGGTCATGGTCTGAAATCCTTCCTTCCAGTTTCAGAGAAAAGAAACACCAATATCATTGAACGTATCTCCGAGAGCAAAAAGTTGCGTCACGAAAAAGGTGTGGCGAACCTAAGGCAGGAGTTGGCACGTGTTGGAAAGGTGAGGCGGCCGTCTTTAGCTTTTGCCAGACTTTCATTTTTCTTTCTAGTTATGTCAGAAACCAAGCCGGTCATGTTTCATCTGCCAAACTTTCTTTCTTTTCAGGAAATGGAAGTGTGTTACATGAAGCCTGGGAAATTATTTTTGACCCAGTTATCAGAATCAGATCAGGCTTTTGAGTCCTTCTTTCGTGCCTCTGAAAGTGACATCACTTTAGTGTCCTACAGCATACAGGTAAGTGGGTCCTTCCTTTCCAAAGATCTCAGTCCCAGGTGCTTACTTTTCCCTCTTTGGGGGGGAAAAAACAGCTTGAAGTTTGAACCAGACCATTTTTCTAAATTACTCTGCTGAAAATTGTTCCCTCCAGAATGTTTTTAATCCTAAAACTGCTGATAGCTGCATCTTTCAGGGAGAAATAGTAGTTGGATATGAGACGCTTTTCTGTGGATACCTGAAGTGGAAACCTATTCCAGATTGGTACCCTAAACCTGTGTTTCTCCAGAGTAAAAGTATTAGGAAATATGTGGCTAGTTATCTCAAAGTCTTGTTGTAAAACAGTTGGTATTGTGATGGTGCTTGATTACAGCCTTCACTTGGGAATGCAGAGGTGTCACAGGGCATTTCTTCCTTCCAGGACTTTGAGAACATGTGGGCCCTTGTCTTCCAGGAGGCCCAGAAGAGGAGGCAATGGATTAGAGAGCTGGATGAAACTTTACGCCAGGCTGAGGTGGAGCGAGCAGAACGGGTAAGTCCAGACGGGAGATGAATGCTAAGTTTAGAAAGAGGAGTTTTGCGAGGAACAGCAAGCAACCATTCTTTTTCCATTGCTTGGATTTCCAGATCACAGTCATATTAAGCAAATACACCAAGATTTTAGAAGACGTTGCCTATCTCTTATCCTCTGACGTCCACAGATTCATACACAATGAAGCCATGGTAAAATCCTTCTTCTTAAGGTCTGGGGGTCTGCTGTAAGAATCAATGGAAACCTAATACCCGTCTGCAAGTCCTTAAAACAGCCCCACCTTTGGCCTTCACCTCCCAGGCACTCCACAGACCTACAGTTTTATAATAGAGTGGCAGACTCATGTCAGTGCCCGCTCTGAGTTTCTTTGGTAGTGCAATGGTTTGTTCACGGGTTTGATTTCTATCCCACCTTTATTTCTTTTTACAACTCAAGGCATCATCCGTCATGATTCCGCCTTCCCATTTTCCCCACAAAAACAGCCTTGGGAGGTGGGTTGGGCTGAGAGAGAATGATTGGCCCAAAGTCACCCAGGAGGCTTGTGTACCAAAAGGGCAGGAGCCCCCACTCTCCCAGTTTTTAGTCCAGACCTTCACCAGTACACCAAACTGGCTCTCCGTATGTCTGTCTTCCACTCACAGATGATAAACCAAGCTCTGCTGGCCAATCGGAGAGCAATATCTAAGTTGTTCCTTAATCTAATGGAAGCCAACCTCAAGAGGGACTCCTTCTATCGATGCCAGCTGGAAGAGAGGAAGGAGATCTGGAAAAGCATGCAGAAGGAATATATAATTTCCAGTTTCAGGTGAGGAGTGTGGCAAGAGAAGAGGGCTAGGGTACTTTCATCTTAGTAGGCACCCTTGTGGAGGGCCTTGTGAACCCCAGAAATGGCAGATGATAAGATTGCATTCCAGGATATAATCTAGTGATTTCCCTTAACGCGTGGTCCAGGTCGAGAGGGATTGGGACTTTGGGATGTCTTTGAAACAGTTCCTTGCTATGGGATTCTGCTGTCTTGGCAGGCAAATTAGTGCCCTGCAGATCTTTTGAAGAACTCCCATGCCATCCCATGGCCTTGGTCACAATGGCTGAGGCTGACAAAGAGTTGAAGTTTAAAACATCTGAAGTTGTCTGTTTATCTGGCCCTATAAGCTTAAGCACACGCAAGCAAAATCAGGCATGTGCCCTACCAGATTCTTTCCCTGCAACCCTGTTTTTTGAAAAATGTTACGGGTGTGATTGTTGAGGCTGAGTCAGCAGCTTCAGGGAACCTGATGCAGTGTTTCAGGTTCTTGGGTCATTTGAGAGTTGCAGGCCACTCTGGGCATCTGGACTGGTGGCACTGTCGAGTAACAGTGACCTAGCAAATCGCCTTCTGACAAAGCAATTTACAGCAGGGCTTTTCAAACTTTTTTAGCCACAGAACCTGTTTAAAAAAATTCCCAGAACTAGGCAAAGCTCTAGTGACAGAAAATTGGCTGCATTTGAGTAAGCAACTCCTCCTCCTCCTCCTCTTCCTCCTCCGCCCACCCCAGGGTTCTGCAGAACAGAGTTTGAAAAACCTTGATCTAGAAAATAAAACTGTACTCAGCATCCCCTTTGTGGTCCTTTGAAACTGTTTACTTTTTTTAAAACCAAACCATCAGCCATTCCTTGCAAAACGTAATTTGAAGTTTGCTTTCATCTTACAGAGAGTTTATGGAAAGTGAAGGGATACAGAATCCAAGTACTGTGAAAATGGAACTGGAGAACATGCTAGAAGATCAGCGATCGCTTGCTCAAAAAAGAATAGAACTTTTATTCTCTCTGAGGTAGGTGAACATAAAAATAGAACGCAGCTTCTCTTCTCTGCAGAGTCCCACCTGGGCAGTTGACGCATAGAGCTAAGGTTGGAAGGAATCGTTCCAATTACACTAGCAGCCAGGTATCAACCCAAAAGTTACACTGTAAGGAAACTTAACCTATTTAGTGCTTTCACAATTCATCTGGAGGTACCTGTGGAGGGCTCTGAACAGTCTACTTAGCTTGAGCAAGGAGGGTGCATCCTCAATCCAGAAACAATGCAGCAGTTGCCAAAGGTAGAGGGGGTAGACCAGAATAGGGCAGAACAGAATTGCGCATCCAAAATAAACCTGGGATCCTAAGAGGGCTTTGACAGGGTTTCAGGATGATGTGAACCCTTCCAAGTAGTCACTAGGAGTCTTTGAAAGGACTTTAATGCAATTACAGAAGATTATTGTAACAGAACCTTGAAAGCCTGTCCTCTCTACTTCAACTTATACCTACCCAAAACAAGGTGGGGTTGTTCTGAGTCTCTTTCCCACCCTTCCACCCAAACTTTCATGTTATCCCATAAATTAAGCCCTCACACTCTTCGGTGCTCCAGTGTTTTCTTTTCTTTTCTTTTTTTATAGCCATTTATTGCCTTTGAAGCATACTAAGGCCGAAATAAACGAATGGTATGAATCTCTGGTGGCATTAAATAAACGTATAGGTAAGGAGCAAAAGGGTTGCAATTAATACTTAAAATGCAAGGATGGGAGATCAGTATTCTAGAAATTGCCTCTTTTTTTCCAAACAGTCCCGCGTGTTGAGCAAAAGTTCATCATCTCTGCTAGCTTGACTTTCCCCAGTGAGGGAGGTTCTGTCCTTAAACCAGCATCGTGTATGCAAGGCCTTTGCAGTTATGAGATCTAGATGATTACAAGTCCTTGGATCAGTCCTTAACGGGGAAAAACACCTAGAACTAGAACAATGCATGCCATAGTTCTGTCCCTTGCAACTTTGGACAAGCACCTGAATGAAAGGTGGAATATAAATCTACCTAATGACACAATAATACCTGTGATTTATGAATTACGTTCTTGAACGTTTGGTTTCTTCAGTCTGAAGAAATTCAGCCATTCGAGGGTTGAGTTTGCACAAAATGCCAGGCTGGGACTGGGAACCCAGACAGTGTCTTAACATCTGGTGCAGTCCAGACCATTACTCAAACTCTGGCTTATTTGTTAGTCTATCAGAAATACAGCCATTGTAATTTGCTAACCTGGCTTGAGGATTTAGCATGCTGTAAGAACCTAACTAATCCTTTATCTTCCTCTGACACCTCTGATGACCATGATTATGATGATTTATGTCCCACATTCAGGGGCTAACAGCCCTGTGGGTAGGCTGGGCAGAGAGAGAGTGACTAGGCCAAGTCAGCCAGTTGAGCTGGGACTTGAACCTGAGTTTTACTACTATGAAGTCAACACCTCAACCACTATATCACACTGCCTGTCAGTTGCCCTGGCTTTAAAAAGTTGCAGGTAGTCCCCCAGTTTAAGAATGAGTTCCGTTCCCAAGGTCTGTCCTTAAGTCGAATTTGTATGTAAGTCGGAACAGTATTGTTGTATAATATTGTATGAGTGGTACTGTGTAATGATCTCGAACCATTGTGTATTTAAATCATTGTGTATTTAACTGAAATTTTGCTACAGTAGGCTCCGTTCTTAACTATGGGGCATTCTGTATTCCCAAACTCACTCTCTCTCTCTCTCTCTTTTGCCACAAGACACTCACAATGTCCAGTCCATGATGAGAATTCGACTCCAGTACGAGAAGGTTTGTCAGGACTGTTTGGAGAAAGTCCAGGAATGCAAAGTGAGTTTTTGAAAATGGGTGTGGGGAGTAGGGGTGTTTCCTGCCTTTGGGACTGATTGCAGGATTTATGGCCACTGACAAAAACTGAAAGCCAGTATGAAGCAGATGTGATAGTTATTTGCACAACAAAAATGCACCAACTTACGTGAAGGCTCTCAGGAGTCAACGACAGCTAACCATCCCTCCCTGCTGGCAGGTTTGTCATGCTGCTTTGGTGACTCAGCTCTTGCATCCTGTGGCTCCCCTAATCCACAGCTAGCAAATCCCCTTTGGCAGGCTAAGGTAGGCATTCTGAGAGAGATGGCCAGTGGATCGGAGAAGGTTAGCTGCCCTAAAAGGAGAAGGATATATGGGGCATTTTTTATCCAGGCCCAGGGAGCACCAAATATTTTAGTTTTGTTTGGTTGGGGCAACTTTTGGACAGACACCCGGAAAATCTGCAGTTCCAAACTCTTCCCCATGGAAAAAGCTTGAGGAAGACTTAGGGCAGAAAATGGGGGAAGGCGAGGAAGATTAAACAGTGATTGTGTATCCATTTCCTAGGCTTTGCTGATCTTGTCCTTTTTTTTTAAAAAAAGAAAATGAACGTTATCCCTTATCATATTTACCTGAAAGGAAGACATCTTCCCCATGGGATTATTAGAGAGAAAACCCCTTTTATCTGCCTCCATTATCATATTCTCAGCCAATCTAAAAATATTGACTGGGCCATTTCAAGTGTAAGTTAATGCAAGAAAAAAAATTATTCTTCCTTTGAGTAAATGTGAACTTTTTCTTGGATACTAGATGTGTAATGGAAGCGGTTATGACACCTTGGATGCTTAGAAGTTCCAGGCCAACCACCCATCTCTTTTTTCCCCTCTTTCTTTAGCAAAAGCTGGTGGGCCTGAAAATTTGTTCCCTCAAAGAGGCTGAGAAGATTGTAAACCCCAGTTTCTATCAGTTACTTGGGAAGCTGCAGGCTCGGTTTGAAGTTGAGATGGAGAAGATGGATGTAAGTGGAGCCCTCTCGCCACATATGGGGTGAGCTTGCATTTCCCAGCAAGAGATCAGAACGAGATCTGCCAAAACCCAAATGGGGCACCCTGTGCTCTTGTACAGCTCTGATGCCTCTCCTGATCTTTTAATTCCATCCCCGAGGTCTCTCAACCCAATCTGTGAACTGTTAATCACACAAAGCGATAGAGGCGCCAGAAATTGAGGGGCCCTTAGCCTCCAAAAGATACCACCCTACCTCATTAAAAGAAATGGAAAAATCTGGGAGAAGATGGCTTTCCCTGGTAGCTTTTTTTCAGTTTTTTTTTCCTCCCCAGGTCCTTCCTTTCACTGATCAGAACTGTCCCCCTTCCCCATCAACGACGTGGATTGTTAGCTCTAACAAATAACATTTGGGATCCTCGTAACTTTTCTTTTTCTTTCTGATTGCTCTAGACTGACTTAGAACACCTGGTTAAAAATACAGAAGTCAACTGCAGGCACCTGTATCAGTACTTCCAAGATGCCCTGGACATCTTAGACTTTCACCAGCAGAAACTCTCTCAGCAGGAGAACGACCTTCAGAGAACTTTAAACGATTGCCGTTGCAAGCACGAAAATATAAACAAGGTCACAGCACTGGTCCCATTTGGGGGGTGGCCCAGGAAGATATTCTGCAACTTTTTGTGCAGAGTCTGCAGAAATCTGATTGTGTATAGCTCTGGAGAAGAGCTCCAGGAAGCAATTTTCTGCCCTCGGCTGAGTTTTCTAAGGCCCTTTCTGTCTAATTTTGAAGGTTCTCTAGGAGATGCGGACCACCAAATCTCTACTGTTCTTGGAGGAAACAGAGAGAAAGAAATGCTTTATGGATGATCTGCTTTTTAACAAATGTACTGGTTATGGAGCTTTGTTTTGTGGAACAAACTGCAGGCTGCCAACTTTAGCATTATTCTTGGCCTTCCCTCCAGTGCCAAAGTAGCATAGAAGAACATTTATTTGCAGGCTAATTATTACAATGTGCTCCCCCCGTGGATCAGCTAAAACGTTAGCTAGCTCAATCTACTAGTGCAAGCATTGAAAATGTGCAGCTTCTGTGTTTGTAATACCAATTTGTTTTTTATGTGGAACTAGTTAAGGGAAATTAATCTGGACATATCGGTTGACAAACTAAGGATGCAAAGCAGTGATGAGAAACTGAAAGCCCATCTGGAGAAGGTTTACACTGCCTTGGATTTCATTCGCAATGGGTACGTTAAGGACTGCATAAGGTGTTTTAGGGATGAATACTTCAGCTCCCGTAATCCTTAACTTCAGCATGCTCAGTGGCAATGCCCATTCAAATAAGAAATCCTGTTCCCTTATTTTGCTGAGCGCTCATTCTGCCATCTAATTTTGTCGGTGCGATTCGGGGGAGGGAAGGCGGTAAAGTTCACTCTGCTGTTTTTGTTTTATTTTATCAAGGTACATGGTCTTCCATCAAGATCTCTTGTCTAAAATTATGGCTTACCCAGAACATATTCGGCATGAACTTCTTTCCTATAGCGCTGCCACCAGTCGGTATTTTTATGTGCGGGGCAGCTACAAAGGGGTATGCAGAAAACAAATCTATGAATACAATATGCGTGAAATTCAACTGGCACAGAGAGATGCCAGTCAAACCAGGCACATGGCTGTTTAATATAGTGTGTGAACCCAGCCACCAGCTGCATTCAGACACTGAATTTCCAGTCCTTCTGAACCATGATTTGGAGGACAGAAAGAACAGAAGCGTCAGAGATGTGCATTGCCTCGTCTTCCCTTAAGTATAACCTAACCGAAGAATTCCTTAATTGTGGGGCTGGCTGTAGAGAGTCAGGAAGATGACCTGTCAGGAAGTCAGGAAGGTGAAACAGAGAGAAAAGGGTGAAACAGACAGAAAAGATATGAAAGAGCCACAGACAGACACCTGCCTAATTCACAGGAGGATAAGAAGGGGGGGGGGGGCCAGCACAATCCGACTTGTGAGATGTTATTATGATAGCCAGTCTCAATAAAAGTCATTTTAGCCTTCCTCTGGAGTGGGTTTTCTGGTGTGGTCTATCTGGTGGGGCCTGCACGAGCAAACTTGCTTTAGCCGCCTTTCCAAACCACAACTGCAAATAC